AAACAAACTTCTTTTAACGTACCCATGCTAGTAGTACTTCCCTATAGATTGTTTATCGGCTTGCAATTTCACGATGTGAATGAAATTGCAGGAGCCCAATGTGGGTGGAAGTGAGATGGCATCCAGGGAAAAGAAACCCTTAGCGCCTTCCAAAGCAAAACAGAAGGCGAATAATGAAAGTGGCTTGTCGTCGAATGAAATTAAAAGTAGAAAGGGTAAGACTTTATCGAACCTGAAACAACAGCAACTCGCACGTGATATTCTGGAAGCTGTGGCAACAGGCAGTCAGCTTCCACCAAAATTAGAAGCAACCCTGCCACGTAAGAAGGTTCTGAGGAACCTTAAGCGTAAACAGAAATTGAGAGTGGCAAAGGCTAATCTCATCAAATCCAAAGTTCCAAGGAAAGTGGCGAACAGAAATTTATGCAGAATAACATCTGACGTTAAGAAAAGCGTACGAACGAAAAGGGTCAAATTGTCGGAGGAGAGTAGCGTTAAGACGTTTGATAGTAACTCAAAAGTTCTAGAGCAACAAGTAAACGACATAGAAATCGAAAGTGCAGGGACAGAAACAATTAATAGAAGTGCCAAGAATAATCTCAGGACCAAAAAGACCAAATTTGTAACAAGAAGTAGCGAAGAAATAGAAAACGAAGATATTCAAGATACAGATTCTGTTGCTGGATCTAGCACGAAAAGCAGTCCAAAATTTAATAAGAAGGGGAAAAGCTTGGACAGTCCGGATTCTTTGTCGAAAACTATTAAGTCGACAAAGTTTACTGGATTCAAAAGGAGCAGTATCAGGGACAAGGAAGGTTGCTCTAAAAACACAGAAGCGGACAGCAAGTATACGAAAGGAAGAAAGAGTAACAGTAAAGATACAGATTACGGCAAGGCCTCAAACGTCGATACAAAATTTACAAAATCTCTTCTCGAGGCTAAAAGTTCTATAGATCTTACCATCGACGAGGTGATAGCTTCAATGTTAAGTGATTCAGAAATAGACAATCAACAAGGATTAACAGAGAAAATTGAGGGAAAAGTAACGAGAAGTAGGAAAATGCTGGTAGAAGAAAGTATAGTTCCTGACATTGAAATTAAGAAGGAACCGGATAGAGAGGAGACAAAAAGTATATCGGATGGAGAAAATTTAGGCACAGAATCTTTCCAAAATGCAATTCAGCTGAGAAAAAGGTCGAATGTATCCATAGGTCAGAGAAGTTTAAGAAACGGGAAATTACGGCAATCAGACTCCGGTATATCATCCGACTTGGATCAAAAGAGACGTCGCAGATTAAACTCGGATGATCCTATTAATTCGGAAGTCTTGGTGGATAACATTACGGACAGTAATATAGATACAGAATCTTGCTTCTCGGAATCCAGCGGCAGTGATCCCCAGACAGTTGTAGCAGCCAAAGATGAACCTTCTTTGAAACAGGAAATGCTGAAAAATTGCGAAGATAGTTCCCAGAATGGATCGGAAACAGAGAACAATAATAACAGTGATCGAGTAGATAGAGTTAGCGAAATAGGACCCACTCTGCGCTCAAAAACTAAAGCCAAAAGTACAGAGATCGAAGTAAAAAATGACAATATTAAAGTGGAATATACGAGAATAGCACCTAAGAGTACAGAAGTGCAGGAAGATGTAAAGAAAGTAGGCAATTTAGATCAAGTTAGAAAGGATAATATTTTAGCAAAATTTGCTGACAAATCCAAGAGTCGAAGAAGTAGTTTGAACATAGATATGAAAAAGACGGTAAATTCGTTTTATAGTACAGACAAATCAGACGGTAATCCAAAGTCTCAGATAGATCAGATGATAGAGAATATCAAGCTCACCATTGCCAAGTCCATTGAAAGTAAAATCTTTGGATCGGAGAAAAGTCTTGGACTGAGCAAAAATTTCGAAGTACCAAAAATTGAAGAGATAATCGCGCCTCTGAGTGCAGAATCTCAGAAATTGGGATTAGATGAGAATAAGGACGAGGATAAATCGACCATATCTAAAAATGAGATCAAATCGGATAGTTCAGAAAATTCAGTACCAAAAGTGGCCGACACTGCCAAAGAAATTGAGAAACTAGTCATGGGTGATATCGAACCAGCAGAAACTCATTCTCAAAATATACAAGAAAGCGAGTCTAATGAAATCGATGAAAACAATAGCGTATGTAATGTTTCTGAATCTATGCAAATTAAAGAGAACACTGAAAACTGTGACAACAAACCCGCAGAAGAGCAAGGAGAACCAAATGAAAATTCTACCAGTGCTGAACAATCCGAAAAGTGTTCAGAACAGCAAGACGAACAAGCAAAAACATTGGACGATGGTAAAAAGATAGTGGCTGTTAGGAAATCACCCAGAATAAGCGATAAAGGCTCTTCCGAGAATGGTGAGACTGTCAAAAAGTCGAATAAAGGAACGAACAAAATAGTGTACAAGTCTGATAACAACGAAGAGTCTTTGGAAGAGGATACGAATAAATCTGTTTCCGAAGAAACTGTTTCAAGCGAGGAACTGCTAAAAACGGTTACTGAATCTTCCGAACCTTCCACCGAATCTGTCACTTCTGAATCATTGAACAACAATGCGGAAGTCACAGTCGCGCAGATAGAAGAAAGGAAAGAAGAGGTAGAAGAAACGAATAAAATCGTTCAAAACGAGATCGAAGTGTCGTTGGACGTTTCTACGAATTCGGAAGAAGCCGAAACGCTGGAGAGCATTTCGAAAGAAGTAGAAAGGTTGGTAGCAGAGGGTCAGCCGATCAGCCAGCCGGAGACAGACACGGAAAATGCACGAGACAGAGAAGAAGAGGAAGAGGAAGAGGAAGAGGAAGAAGCAGAAGAAGCAGAAGAAGCAGAAGAAGCAGAAGAAGCAGAAGAAGAAGCAGAAGAAGAAGAGGAAGAAGGAGAAGAAGAGGAAGTAGAAGAAAAAGTTCAAAATATTACAGAGTCCTCTCCACCTCCAACAGTATCCGACAATAGTGAACAAGAAGCTGTGAATAATGTAAGTGACGAGTCGGAAGGAAATATCGTACAAGAGGAACAAGGGGCAGCAGAGAATGCCAAAGAAAGAGACATTAGCCCTCCGGGCGTGGTGGAAGATACGGAAAAGGATAGGAATAATTGCCACATATCAGATAACTCTAACTCAGGTTCAGATTCTAAAGAAAATGCCAACTTAGTTTCTAACGATACCTCTATTTTCGACCAGGATAGTAAAAACGAAGATGCAGAGAATAACGTAGAAAATGATAATAAGTGTAAAGAAAAGAGTGCATGCAACAATATAGCCAGCAGTCCCGTTTCTGAACCGGAAGAAAAGGAAGCGAGTTCGAACGAAACTTTGGAGCAGAGCGAGACACCGGCGACAGAGAATCAGGCTGAGAAACTAGCGAACGATAGTACGACGGTGGAGGAGGAGCAGAAGTCTGCCAGCGAAGAGAAGAAGAGGGTGCTCAGAGCTCGGGACAAAGCGAAGAAGGTAGAGAAAGGACAAGCGTCGTCGAGCAGGGAGCGCAACGATAGTTGCTCCAAAGGGAAAACCGACGAGGAGGCTGCTCCGAAAAGGCAAAGCGTCGCGCACAACGATATCGAGGAGGATTCGACGGGGGACAAAGCGGAGAACGCGCCCGGCACCGATGACCCGGCGGAGGAGAGTCCGAACAACGGTGAATTGGAGGCGAACGATTTGGAGCGTCAAGCGCGCACTCGGCGCAGCAGGGAGGTGAAGAAACGCAGGGAGGATCAGCCGGTTTCGCTGAAGAACAAACGGTCGAAGCGGGAGCTGCGCAAGTCCGAGCAACAGAACAAGGAGGAGACCTTGCTGGACAACGAGGTTGCCAAGATCAACGAGAACAATCAGTCGTTCTTGAACAAATACGGAGGCGGAGCGGAATGCGCGAATAGCAATTTCAGAGGATTCTCCGAAGGAGGCAGAGCGTGTCTGGAGAAACACCAGGACACCGCGGACAGCGCGCGGAGCAAGTCGGAGAATGACTTGGTGATCGCGAAAGAGCCCGAGAAAGGGAGCTGCGAGGACAGGCTGTCGAGGAACCTGTCGGAGAATCGCGTGACCAAGCAAGCCGAGAACATCGGCATGCTGGACGCGGAATGCAAGCCGTCGAAAACGCCCGAAACCTCGCAGAAGGACTCGGACGAGACGTCCACGTCCGGCGAGTCGTCGAGCAGCGTCAACGTCGCGGAGAAGATCATGGAGACGCCCGAGGACAAGGCGAAGAAGGAGTCGATCCTACGGTTGCTCGGGCTGGAGTCCTTGGAGAAGGCCGCGGAACGGCTGAGTCATCAGAAAGCTAAGAAGGAGCAGTACAGCACCGGCACTTTGAAGACCGTGATCAGAGTGCAGAAGGAGAAGGACAGAGACAAGAGACGATCCAGATCTCCTCTGAAGATGGTGCTGAAGCAAGGCCGCGGGGACGGAGAGGGCGATTCACCAGAGTTCTACACCATTCAGAAGGAGGTACCTACTTATGACGATGAACCGACATAGTTTCCAAAGACAAGACGATGTTGTTAACGAATATGTCTCCTTTCATTTTTCAGTTTGGAACCAGTGGTTTGGGCGATAGCAGCTCTGGTGCGAACCGAAAGTTCTCTACTAACCACAGACACTCTTGCGGTAATCCTGGTTGCGGGAATAACTACAGTCTTAATCGTTCCCTTGTCCTCTGCTTTATTAAACAAAACACATGTTCTCATACCGTCTGAAGTCTCTGGTACCCCTCAGAATCGTGGAGAGAATTGCTTGATTTTGAACGAAGGACACGTTCGTACGGTTCGACGCCTAATACAAGAGACATATGTACACCGTTTAATCTTTGCTTCTCTTTCCATATCATGTCAAGCAATTTCGATTCATCGCTAGCCCTGCAAATCATGTTCATAACAATTCTCTTTTTAAAATAACAAGCATGCCATCTCATGCTACCGCTTAGAATATTGAACGGTTCTCTCTGATCACTTTAACTGGAGAAATCACGTCGAATCTCAGTTCTCTCCATGCGCCGAGAATCCGAAGGGCCGTACGTAATCGTCGATCTTTTTGTAACCGCAGATGAAGACAACGAAGACGCAGCGCCGAAGGATCGCCAGTCTCTCGTGATTCCAGAGAAGTCCTCCTCGTTCTCCATTCACCCGGGTCGCCTTTGCGCGGACGTCTGTTGCTACTGCTTCGGGAAGTTCGGCTCGCTGGACACGCCGATGCATCTGGCTCAGATGAAGTCGGACGAGAGACGCAAGAAAATCCTGAACATAGAGAGACACCTGACCAAGGACTCGTGCTTGTGCGATGCGTGTTACCGCCACGTGGACAGAAAGGTGCACCTTTGAACCTCTTTTCCTTTAGCGTTCTCCGTTCGAGCCGCGGCCGCCGCCTCGCGGTGCTTCGCCGGTTTATTCGAGTGTTTTGTTTTCTTTTAATTCCGTTCCTCGTTGAAATTCTTGTTAATCGGAATTGTTGTCCGCAGGCAAACACAAGTCCAACGAACATGCAAACGAAACCGCAGAAACAGCATCGACAGTTGATGGTGTCCAAGTGTTCGGCTCGCGACTGCAGAGACGCTGCGAGACATCACGTGAAGCGCCGTTGGTTGTTGAAGATAAAGGCCGGTCTGCAAAAGCAGGTGAATGTTCGCCTCGGAGAGGAGAGAATGTTCTCGCGAATGGGTTTTAACGAACGATTGCTCTGCCCTGTTGCAACAGGTGGACATCGATTGGGAGTCCAGCCAACACACATCCATGTCGTTCTGCGTCAGCCACTACTCGACGATAGAGCGATTTTTGACTTGCGCCCTTTGCAAACGCCGGCTGGCGAGGAATTACACTCATCAGCTGGCGAACGCGGAGACCGACGAACTGAACCAACTGTTGGGGCAACAGGGGATCCCCGTGGTGCTGGCCGCTGGTACTTTCGTCTGCAAGTTGTGCCGCTACTTCACCCAGCTTCAGTTGAAGTACAAGGACGTCGAAAATATGAACATGAGTCACCGATCCTTCTTCAAGAATTATCGTAAGAGGTACGACACGTCTAGAACAGGTATAGAAAAGAACTTTCGACCGGGGCCGAATACCCGATACTGATTTCCGTCCGGCGGTGTTCCGTTTCAGAATTCTCCATTACCACGATATCGAGGTGCTGGACAACGAGGACGACGAGCTGTCCCAGAACCAGACCAAGGACAAGGAGAAACGCAAGAAAAGCAAGTGTCCTGCCCAGTCGAAGAGCGGAACCACCAAGTCCCCCGATGCCACGACGATCAATTCCGCCTCGGAGAAGTCGACGCTCGAGCTCGGCAAGGTCGAGGGCGCGAGCTCCGAGACGGATAACGAGAATCGAGTGGCGAAAGCGAACCTGACCGACCCCGAGGCGGTGATTCCCGGGGACGTGCAGTACCTCGGCATCGAGAGCACCGTGGAGAAGCTGAAGAAGCGAAAGCTCCTGGAAATGCACCCGTACACGTCGGACACCACGATATCCTGCGACAGCCCGAACGAGGTGGTCGAGATCCTCGCGATGGACAAAGAGGTGACGCTGACCAGATTGCCAAAGAGACAGAGAACCAACAACGACATCACGCCCGTGGTGCAGAGACTCGGCGCGAATCCCTCGATCAGCGTCCGCACCCTGTTCCCGGGCGAGGAGGAGATGAACCTGCACGCGAACATCGAGTTCGCGAACGTGCGCGAGATCACGCCCCAAGGGTGGGAGAAGTGCGCCACCATGATACAGTACGACAGGGACACGAAGCTCCTCTGGCAAGAGCTGCAGAGACCGTACGGGAACCAGAGCTCGTTCCTCAGACACCTAATACTTTTAGAGAAATATTACAGATCCGGCGACCTGGTCCTGGCTCCGAACGCCTCCCGGAACGCGATCAATTACTCGACGTCTGTTCAGAACAGACTGATATCGTACGAGGGGCCGGAGAAGATGGACGAGCCGATCATGGAGCCGATCGCGTCCGAGTATCACAACTCGCGCCGCCTGAGCGGCGGGTACGTGCTCGAGAGGGATCGG